GAGGCCAATAGGAGGATTTGAACGTAAGATTACTAGGCAGGAAGCAGTACAGATCTTAGGTTTACGGTACTGTTTTTCATATCTTTTTATATTCAAATAGTTCCAGTAACATAATTTCTTTTACACTGTAAATAGTATTGAGTATTTTATTTTATTGTAGCATTTAGTTTTTTTATCTAGTCTAAGAGGTACAAACTAGAGTTGCTGATAAAAATAAATTGTGCTAGTGAAGTTGGTAACTATCTAAAATCTAATTGGCTATTGCACTTAATAGCCAATAAGATTTTAGAAAATCACCAGTTTTACCAGCATAATTTAGTTTTACTAGCAACTCTAATACAAATAATTTTTCAAGTTCTATTAAAATATTTTGGTTTTAAGTTTATAAGTCTAAATGCAAAAAATTTTAAACAGCTATTAATCAGTTGATAACAATTATTTTACAAGTGAGTTAATATAAAAAAATATTTTTGGTTTGTTTTTTATATCTCTTCATATTCAAAGAGTTCCAGTAACAATTTCTTTTATACTATAAATAATATCGAGCATCTTATTTTATTGTAGCATTTAGTTTTTTTATCTAGTTTATGGGGTACAAACTAGAGTTACCGGTGAAAATAAATTGTGTTGGTAAAGTTGGTGACTATCTAAAATCTGATTGGCTATTGCACTTAATAGCCAATAACATTTTAGAAAGTAACCAGTTTTACCAGCATAATTTAGTTTCACCAGCAACTCTAGTACAAATAATTTCTCAAGTTCTATTAGCTAGGATTACCGTAAAAGGTTATATAAAAGACCCGGGTCTGTTACATTCCACCAATTTTAAAACCTCTAGTAGACCCGTGGGTCTCTTGTATGGGTATGGGTCTGATAAATGGAGGGTTTATAAGTGTTTTCCTATTTTTATATACCGGGTCTCTTACATTTTACCAAAACCTTGACCCATATTATAGACCCGGGTCTAATTCATAGGGGATCTGATATATGAGGGGATCTTTTATATGACCTTTTACGGTATTCGCAATGACTTACATAAAATTTTGCGAAGTTTTATTAATGTAAATAAGCGAAAACTTGTTTTCACAAATCCTAACGGATCAGGAAATTGTTACTATCACGCGGAAGGTGATTTCAAAAAAAAAAAGGTTTTTTAATTACATTACACATGATCTTGTCTCCTGATTGCTAGATCAGAAACCTTGGAAAAAATTTTTTTAAATGCAAATCAAGGTGAGCAAGAAAATTGAAAAATACAAGGAAACGGGTATTTAAGTCTGTCTTGTAACTAATTAAAAAATGATGGGACTGACTATTGACGATCCATTTCGCCTGGGTTGTGTTGTGGAAGATCCAAATTTTCCCGTTAACGCGCTTTCAGTATATATCTTTCCTATAACTTCAAGCTCTAACTCGGGTTCCTCTTTAGGTTTGCATCACTCGCAAAAGTATGCCGTTTACTACCTCCTATAACGCAATTTTATTGGCCAAAAAGAAAATTTTCTATATCCTAACCAGGCCGACCCATCAAGATATGGGTCAAGGCCGGCCTGCCCGGCCGATGGGCCAAGGTCAGCCCATGTCACTATCTACGATCGTACAGACTTTTCGAGGAAATCCTTAGCTTCGTTAATTTTACTTGCCAAGTAAGGTGATCCTCCACGATCGGGATGGTTAAGAAGCATAATTCGGCGATGTGCTTCTTTAATTTTGGCTTTATTAATACCAGATTCTCTATCAAATAATGTTATCGCGTTAAAGTTAATATAATTTATGCTATAAACTCATTTCCTTAAAAAAAAAAAAAAAACAGTACCGTAAACCTAAGATCTGTACTGCTTCCTGCCTAGTAATCTTACGTTCAAATCCTCCTATTGGCCTC